GAAGGAAGGAAGGAAGGAAGGAAGGAAGGAAGGAAGGAAGGAAGGAAAGAGATGCTGTGCAGCTCAGGTAGCAATCTTCTGTTCCAAACATGCTGAAATTCAGAAATGTGGAAGCTGTGATATTGTATGTATGTATGTATGTATGTATGACATTTGTTTCCTATCTCGTATCAAATGAGCATAAAAATTTTAAAGCACTAAAATAACAATTGTAGAACACAATGGATAAAATCATTAATAAATACAAACCATTAACACCAGATGGGAAAGGAGGGAGCCGGACATACATGGTGTAGGTATGGAGGTGGGATTAAGTTTTAATTAGTCAACCACCTCCAGTATGAAACTCCCCATTGTATGAACATAGCATGTCTCAGTTTTGGGAGAAATACTGATTTTTATATAAATTGCCAAAGCAGTACAGGTTAGGTTACTAATTTTAAATTTTATGAATAAAAGCATTCAGTCATCTGGCACTTTCCTATAAATAGAAATATCTTCTCCATTGCTTTCATGCATATATTTAGGAATATACATTCAATATACTGTATTTAAATTACAATTATGTGATAGAAATCTGCATGAAATTAATAGTTTATACTCAATATGTTGCTTGAACGTTCTGTCTTTTGGTTCAGTACTATCTCTGTAAACCTATTTTTATAGCTTAGGCATATGTATGCTAGTTATGGCTGGACGTTTCATTTTTGGGTGCTTTAAATCATATTTAATCATTAAAATTGTTTTCATTGAGCTACTTTTTATACAGAGGGTAGCCTTTTTAAGTAGACATCTGCTCACACAATGGGAAGTTCCCTTCTGTTCTTCTTCTCTACATCCTCTGTGCTTGCTGAATATGTTCTAATTGAAATAACATAGTGATTTCTTAGTTCTTTTTAAAGGAATAAAGACTCTAAAATGTAAAGTTATAGATTCAGCATTGTTTTTAAAAATGCAACCATTTGGCACCTACATTCTCAAAATTTCACGGATTTAATTGTACTAGTTCATATTCCAAATCTATATTAATTGTTGTCTTAAATGCATCTATTGAATGTCCTGCTGGCAAATAAATTCTCATGAACCTTCACAATTGGCCATATTAGCCAGGCATTTATGGAAATTAGAATAGCACAGATAGTCTTCGACTTACAACAGTTTGTTTTGTGACCGTTCAAAGTTAGAACGGCACTGAAAAGAGTGACTTATGGGCATTTTTCACAGTTAACAACCATTACAGCATCTCATGTTTATGTGACCAAAATTGAGATGCTTGGCAACTGGTTCATTTGTGACCTTCTGAATGGGGAAGCAATTCACTTAACAACCAGATTTCTAACTTATCAACTGCAGTGATTCACTTAACTGAGGCAAGAAAGATCATAAATAACGGGGCAAAACTCACTTAACAAATGTCTCATTTAACAATAGAAATTTGGGGCTCAATTGTGGTCATAAGTTGAGGATTACCTGTACAATATTTGGAAGGTTGCATCTTACTTATTGCTGATCTAAGATACAGAACATCTCTGTTAGGAAACTTTTTGTGAGGGAAAAGTAGCATGAACTATTAGCACATGTGGAAACTCAGGTTTGTCTAAGATCATCAGATGTTCTCTCATGATAGTATCTTTTGGGGGTGGTATTATATTCAGTGGATCACCTCCTAAATGATCATTCTGGCAACAAGTGGCCATAGTGTGTTTGTGTACTGTGGTTGATTTCCATATCCCTCATCTTGGTGAGCTTCCTCTGAATTTGTTTCTCTCTGCTGTTTTTGAGTAGTGGTCTACAGAAGTGGAACTCCAAATGGGTCTGACCAAGACAACATAGACTGCAGCAATAACCACCCATGATTTGGTGCATTATCTTATTAAAGTACTGCAAGTTCGCATTTTAGCCTATCCCGTGTTTAGCTTGTGGCTTACAAGGATTCCCAGATCCCCATTGAGATGTGATGAAATTAGATGTGTTACATCTGACAGTGTACCTCCCCATCCTATCCCCCAAATAACTAGATATATTCCTACCACGAGTTTGCGTTTTCCACTTTTTAGCTTGGAATTTTAAAACATACTGTTCATTCAATTATTTTTCCCTAAGGGCAGTGTCAGAGTTATTTCTTCAAACTAGTTATCAAAATGTTCGATATTATAGAAATCTGATTGACAGATGATATTCAGATAATAGAACTAGCGATTTTCATGCAAAGGAGTTATGAACAGAATGTGTTTTAAGTGCTTTGTATACTTTAAAATATAGGTTTTACTCTATTTACTTAATACCCTGGTTTATTATAAAGCAGGTACCACTTTTTGGTAAGGATCAAGTTTATATTATGCAGTGAAACAAAAATCTTGTAATTGTCATGATAAGAATATTGTTTCAAGTGAAAAATTTAAGGTGTTGTTTATCTCCTATATTTGGCTGGAAATCTAATTTATATAGAAGATTAGGAGAATAAATGCTCCAGGTGAGCCATCTCATGGGTCTATCAGTGTAATGTTTGTACTTCTAAACCCAAACACCTATTGCACTTCCTATGTGTTGCTTGTATTGACTGCTAATATTTTCCTATTATCACTGTTAGTTTTGGCTTCCCATAACATGGAAAAATCCACTGTCTTACCAACAATGGCACATATGGAAAAAGCTGCCTCTGTACTTAAAATGTGAAAAATTCATTAAAAAAAACCCCAACAGCTTATTCGTTTAAAATTGAAGGTAATAGGATACCTTTCTTGCAACTTGGTGTCCTCTGGATGCTGTTGATTTTGATTATAGTGGCTGGAAATTATAGAAGTTGAAATCAACACAATTGGGGGATATCAGATGACAACAGAAGCAGCCATTTGAAGACCTTGTCTAGGTAGACTGGCCCCATTTTTCTTTCATTTTGTTGGGCTATTATGTTTCATTCAAATCAGTCCTTCCTTTTTTGGATAATGAAATGGAGGCAATGGATTGTTGGAAAATGTAAGGATTGTAACATTTCAGGGCTTAATTGAGAAACATTATAAATGAAAAGAAATATAAGTACATGCTGTACTTGCAACAGCTACATTTACATTGTTATTTCAAAGAAGTAAAGCTATTTGGAGTACAAATCCTATTGTGATTTGTGCAGCATTTTTTATTTCAAGAAGGAACCTGCTGTGGTTCTCTGGAATACCTCAGGCTACCAGTTACTTGATGGTGTAAGGTAGCGAAGGAGCCCTGTAAGTCACTTGAGGTGATAGCAATATACTTGAGAGATGAGTGAGTTTTTTTGGTTCACCTTTGAGTATGCATTCATAATAACTAATATAACAACCTTAGATCAGTAATGATTAGTTACATTCTAAACTTGTACTTTAAAATAAACTTTTAGTGAAAGATAATTCATTTATATGTAGTAAGACAAAAAGAATTGAAAGGGTTTTTAAAACCATGTTATCTTTTTAATAGCATAGAGAAACTATCCATGGTTGTCTACTACAATATTAATAAAAATAATGTCAAAGTGTCTGAGAAAACACTCAGGAAAAAGCATCACTTGAGTTTCTGGAAATGTTATAAGAGTAAAGCAATGGATTCTTGTAACCTCTCTAAAACAATGTTTTATACAAAATACTGTTCATTTAGATATAGTTATTCACTGCAGTAGATGAATGATACATAAGACCAAGCACAATATGTTGTCCTACAGCATCTTGATATGAATGCCTTTGCAGCGTAGACTTTAACAATATATTAATATTTTCTGGATTAGCTTACATATTCACTAACTGCAAGATGAGATTTGAAGCTCTGCCTCTTGATTTTTCGAAATGGCAATGATGTAAAAAAAAAGTCTGGTGTAGTTATCAGGTGAATTTGAGCAACATTACTAGGAGTGCTGAATTATTTTTAAATTTACATTGCTGTTTAGTAATATACTAAGATCTGGATTGTAACCTTCATTTTATCAAACCCATGAAAACAGAATCCTGTATAGATTTCATTGGTATATTTCTGCTCGGATTTTCTATAATTGATCATCCTTCTGTGTGGATGTATTATTTTTCATGCCTGTTCAAAACACTAATTACCATGGATTTGTAAATATGTTTAAGAATATAAAAATTAAGCCAGGCTTAATGAACCAAAATCTTGAAAAAAAATCTGGAACCTTGCTGTTATATATGTTGATAGCAGCAAGAATGCTTTAGGCACAAACATGTTTAATTCCCACAATGGATGAATGGCTGGAAAACAGATGGAACTAGGAAGAGCAGTGGTAGTGTAGAATGCAGTATCATAGGCTGACTCTGCCTTCTGCCTCAAGCTTGATCCTGACTGGCTCATGGTTAATTCAACTTTCCATCCTTCCGAGGTTGGTAAAATGAGGATGCAGATTGTTGGGAGCAATATGCCAATTCTGTAAACTGCTTAAAAAGTGCTTT